ATCTACATTTTTCTTTTCTTTCCCTTTTCTCTTCTTCTCGTTTTCCTTTGGATGTTTTTTTTTCTATTGTTGATTTCCCTGATCTAGATTTAACTTTAACAGATGAAGGTTGAGATTGTGTTTGTGATAAAATTTTGAAAGATGGAGCATGAAAATCATCTGAGCTTGCTTCTTCATTCAATCTTCTACTTTTTCTCGAGGTTCCGTTGCCTCTTTTCGACATTGTACGGTTTGTTTATCGCAAGAGTTGAAGATTTGAGTATCAAAAATGAAGATTTGAATGCAAATATTTGAGAATTCTTGAAGAAGACTGTTAAGAGAGAAGTGATTTTGAGAAAAAATTTGGTGAAAATAAATTAGGCGTGCGAATTATGGTGAAAAGTTTTGATAGGCGTACAGAGGTAATGATTTTGAAAAAGAGTTGGGGAAGAACAAAAATTTGGGGAATATAAAATTTTTTTTAGATAACGTTTTACAGTTTTAAAAATAAAAATGTAACCGTTTTAGAGATAAAATCCCTATTATTTTGTAGTTATCTTAAAAAAGGTAACTATATAACATTTAATTTAAATTATATTAATTAAGAGTTTGTTTAAAAAAGGTAACTTAAAATAATAAATTTAATTAACTACATTGGTTTAAATAAGGTAATTGAATTAGTTAAATAAGTTAATTATTATTTTAAAAAATTAATGAGAATAATATATTATTTCTTGATATGCTATAACTTGATAATAATATGTTATAAGTAGTTTATTATTAAAAAGTTTGTTTATAACTTGATATTTAACATCTTAAATGTGTGTGTAGTGTTATTTTTATTTTAATATAATAAACCCAAAAATTTAAAATTACTCATTTAGTCTATGATGTACTTGGAGAAAAAAAATCTTAAGATTTATTTGTAAAATTTAATAAGTTTTTAACTGTAAAATATTTATTTTATCCTTAATAAATTATTTATAGTCACATAAATAACTATAACTTAGTATTTTATGACACAAGTTTCAAAAGTTTTTCTTTCTATGACACAAGTTTCAAAAGTTTTTCTTTCTTAGAAAATTATGCGGTTAGACAAATTTATACTACTTAATTATTTATCATAGCTATAGTTTGCTATAATTATCACTAACGACTAATATTATACATTAATTATGTGGGTTGACTTCGAGTTTGTATAATTAGTCATATTTGTATATGTATAATTCGTCAGAATATACACATACATATGTATAATATACAATTATCTAACCAATATACATATACAATTCACCTCTCTCCCACTCTCTGCCCTCTCTCGCTCGCTTCTCTCCTACCTCTCCCAATCTCGCTCGCCTCTCTCCTTTCTCTCCCAATCTCACTTGTCATTTATACAAATGCATATGTATAATAATACAATTATCTAACCAATATACATATACAATTCACCTCTCTCCCACTCTCTGTCCTCTCTCGCTCGACTCTCTCCTCCGTATCCCAATCTCGCTCGCCTCTCTCCTCCCTCTCCCAGTCTTGCTCGCCTCTCTCCTCTCTCTCCCTACCTCGCTTGCTTTTTACACACATACATATGTATAATATACAATTATCTAACCAATATACATATATAATTCACCTCTCTCCCACTTCTTACCCACTCTCTCTCGCCTCTCTCCTCTCTTTCCCAGTCTCGCTCGCCTCTCTTCTCCCTATAACATGTAGCTACGAATTGTAATTATCAAACTATAGTTATGAAAAGTAGTTAGGCTATTTTTAGTGGTTATATGTGAAAGTTTCTATTTTTTTCTTAAACTCCATGTCAAGTCAAACCTAAGTCATAAAATTGAGATGGAGTGAGTAATTAATATAGTGAGTTTACTATTTTACCCATATTAATTACATTATTCATCTTGTCCCTAATATGTTTCCACTTTTAAATTGACAAACTTATTAAGAATTCAATAATTAATCATTTTATCCCAATTAACAACGAAGTAGAAGAATTAAAATTTCCAAAAAGTGCCATATTTTTCAAACATAATAAATTAAGGGATAATAGTCATAATTTTTTTTTGTCTTTTTCTAATTTGTTAAAATGGACAAGTAAAAAAGAGAAGTAGACAAGTAATTAGCGAAATAAAGAATAATACAATAATTTTATTTTATTATTATTTTTTTAAGAAAAAACAAATAAATATATAAATCAAATTAAAAAATAATGTGACAAGTAAATTCTAAAAGATGGAATTGAATGATTCGACTTTCTCCCTTTGTTTTGGAAAAGAAAAAAAAGAGTACAACATAAAAATGAGCAATGTGATTGGCTCACGTCTCTTGTGCCTTGTGACATATTCTCTGCTGATTCTCCATTACTATCTTCTTCCCTTTTCTTCATCTTATCAACACATTTCAGTTTCATTCTTCAAAGGGAACAAGAAAAGCAAAGAATCTCTAAAGATATTCCTTCTTTTTCTCTCTTTAACAACAACCCCTTAATCCTACACGGAGGATTTTGTTTTGCAAATGAGATTTTTGGGAATTTCCATTTTCTTGATTCTGTTTACTTTTGCTTTTGCAAATGAAGATTTTAATACCCATGTGGTTGATAGGCCATTGATTGTTGAATTTTTTGAAAATAGTGAACCCCATTTGAAGAGAACGCTTCATTTAGAGTGTACAAGTTGGAGGTTTGCTGTGGAGGCGAATAATTTAAGCCCATGGAAGATAATTCCACAGGAATGTGCTGATTATGTGAGACAGTATATTACTGGTGGGGCTTATAAGATGGAGATTGATAGAGTTTCAACGGAAGCTGGAGCCTTTGCTGAAAGCATGAAATTGGGGGAAGATGGAAAAGATGTATGGATTTTTGATGTTGATGAGACTTTGCTTTCCAATCTTCCTTATTATTCCCAGCATGGTTATGGGTATGACTCTCATTAATGTATGCCTCACCTCCACTAATTAAACACAAATGTCGAATTGGGTTGTCTTTTTTACTATCAGAAATGGAACTTTGTTTATTATATTTGGAGTTTTTTTGAGCATTGTTCGATGTGTATGATAATTTTTTGTTGATTTTCTGATAAGGTATTTTGGGGGTTATTTGTAGGTTGGAGGTTTTTGATAGTGTGGAATTCGATAAATGGGTTGAGAAGGGTGAGGCACCAGCAATTGGATCAAGTTTGAAGCTTTATCAAGATGTTATGAGGCTAGGATTCAAAGTTTTCTTGTTGACTGGGCGCAGCGAAAGACACAGAATTGTTACAGTGGAGAATTTGATGAATGCTGGGTTTCAGGATTGGGACAAGCTCATATTGAGGTGAGTTATGAGTTATAACTGCTTCAGATTTTATATCAATGGAAAATGAGTTATTATAACTTCAAATTTTGAAAAATGAATTAGCTATGAGAATTTGATGAATGCTGGCAAGTGTTCTTCCCCGGTGGCGCGGTATATGGTCTGTTTTAGTAATGCTTCCCCTTATCTGATCTAGGTCACAGCCAATCAATGTCTCAATCCCTAAATAGTTAAGATCAATTGGATGAATGATATGTATCTATTCGGTTCCATTTCATTCTTGTTTGTATGTCTATCAGAGATACTTTAAAATTAGAACCCTTAATTTAAGTGGTGATCTTGCTAACTTTAGGAAGAATCAAACAGTTTCTCGTTAAGAATGAATTTAGTTAGAGGGAAGTTTGATGAGTACTTCATCATTAACTCAAATCAGTAGTTGCTTTTGCATTATTGTTACGCTCAGCTTAGTTGGTCTTAAAGTTGTTGCTGCATGTATGTACTCTCTGATCTTAATCCAGGGATTAGAACTAAAATTTATTTGTCAGCCAATAGATAGATAAGTTCCATTCAAGAATTCGATATGGCTACAATTTTCCTGGAACTCGATTAACTCTACTTGGTTTATAGAAGGTAACTTTAAAGGCATGTTGAGGAACCAAAACTCCTGAAGTAACTATAATAATTTCTAGTTTGGCTCGTTCAAATTGCACCGATATTTCATTTCCATCTTAAATGTCGGTATTCTCCATACTTACTAGGCTAAAGAATGCCATTTATTTGCTAGTTGGTGATATTAATATTTGATATATGTCCTTTCTCAAGGATAGGTAAATATGTTGTTTGCTTGACCAAAATGAAAACAGAAAGGGATTACTCCAGAACTCAAAGAAGAAATAGGAACAATCTATAGATAATAATTCACAGAGGGTAGGTACGGTTTGAAACAAATAAAATCAGATAGTTTTAGAGCTTGAGTAGCATGTGCAGAAGAGCTTTGCTTCTTGATACACCTAAACCATTGATGTTAGTGTGTCTGTCTTTCCATCTCTCTCTGCATATGGAAATTCTTTTCCAGGTAGATGTATTTGAGTATAAAAGTATAAGGGCAAGTATTTAAAGGACTTGAAAGGAATCTGCATGAGGCTTCCTTTAAGGGATTCAGATGTGGAGTATTTTCCACATAATGTAATGACACTTTATCAACTAGATAGGCAAATCCATCAGAAAAGTTATCGGAAGGAATATGATAGAAATAAAACCAGAAAAAAGTAGAAAAGTTATAAAAAAGAAAAACTCTTATAAAGAGACTCTGAATTTCTCAATCAAAATGCATATTATTCATCTAGGTGAACCTATAGCAAATATATTTAGTTTTGTATTTTAATTGACAAAGTTTACCATACTACATACTGCATACTACTTCATTGACAATCTGCAGATTGCAATGAGGCAGGGCGGGTACGAAGCAAGGCAGAGAAAAACTCAACTTACTCTAACAGAACTAGGACTGTCAACTCCAACTGTATAGGCGAAACTCACCCCCTCTCCTTAGAGTCAAGTGACTTTCACTCCTTCAAATCCATTTCTGAAAATTTTAAATGGGGCAGTGCAGGTGGCATGTCATCTAGTCCATTTGTAATTTTCGTAATCAAATTTATTACTCCTAGTAGTTTATTGCTGTTCCTCAGTTTTGTGCCGTATACAAGAAATTTTTTCTACCACTTTCTTGGGCTTCACTTTACCATGTCACCTCTATAATTCTGCTGGTTTTAGAGTGACAACATGTTAAAATTCTGAGATTAATGTTTGTTATGCAGGGGATCAGAGGATCATGGCAAATCAGCCACAATTTATAAATCAGAGAAAAGAAATGAGATGGTAGAAGACGGGTTGAGAATAGCAGGCAACTCTGGAGATCAGTGGAGTGATCTGTTAGGCTCCTCTGCATCGATTCGTTCTTTCAAGCTTCCTAACCCAATGTACTACATTCCTTGACATCCCCAATATTTTTTCTGCTGCAAACAATGGAAACATACTTCATTGAACAAGAAAATCTATGAATTAACTAATGTAACCATAGTCATAATGGGTGTAGTTGTGCACAATCCTCATCTCTCTCTGAATTACTTTGTACTTCTTTTAAAACATATATAGATTAACAAGAACAAAATATACTTTTACTCTATTGTGAAAGTTGATCCTTTTTTAAAAAGAAGTGAGAGAGCCAAACTTGTGACTACCTTAACCTCTAATGGGAACTTGAACTAAATTGTGCCATAAAATTTGTTGCTACCCTATTTACTCCTTTCGTTTCAATTTGTTTGTATGGTGTTTGGCAAGTAAGCAGAAATTATTGTCCAAAAATGTTTTTGTATAACCTAGACAAGCACTATATGTGAGTACGAATATGAGGGTGGGTTAAGGTGGAGTGTGTTGGACACACAAAAGAGACAATTAATGTGAAATGCTATTGAATTTGTTTACGTATGCTCGTCATTTTCACTCATTTATAAAAAACTTATTTACCTCGAGAAAAAATTAAAAATTTCAATCAAACATGAATAAAACTATTTTCTGTTTCACAAAACACATCGCAAGAGTTGGTTAGATAGTATTTATTGAAATTATTAGTGTGGTAATAGGGTTATTCGTGTTGTACGTAGTGAACAAAATATGTCCTTTGTTTATGCTTTCATATTCACTACCATCTTCAAATTATTTAGGGTTCATTGGATAGGATGTATTAGAGAATTAATTTATGTATTAATTATAATATTATTTGATTTTTTCTTTGATAGAATGTATATAATGTATGAATTAGTTGTACATCTTGTTTAATAATATGGGGTGTATAATTAATACACTATAAATTATGATATTAGTAATATATATAATGGAAACAATCCATAGATAAGTGTGGTTAAAGATACAATTGTTTTATTACAACAAATAGAAATTTGAGCAACTAATCAATATTATTAATAAAAAATTTATTCAATATTATTCTTATACACTCTATCAAACGATTATTTTCTCTCCTATTTCTAAATTAATTCTTTTGTTCTGCCCAATGAAAGAATCTCCAAGTTTCTTTTTCAAGTTGAGGGTATCAATATCATGCCTCTTGAGAAAAAAAAATAAAGCTCTTAAAATTCTAATTGAAAAAGTCTTATTAATTATTATAAGGCTTATATAATTAATTAATATAAACCCTATGTAGTAAACATCAAAGAAGCGTCAAACAGTTGACACTCAATTACATTACATTAATTGAATGTCGGTGTCATTGAGTAAGGATTAAGTCAGCACCCAAAAAATGTATATATATTATTCTATCCGTTCAAAATTATTTGACAGGGAAAAATAAATGTTTAAGATTAATTATCAATTTAAATAATCGAAAAACAAAATAGATTTGTTTTTCAATTCTGCGCTTTCACTTTATTCAATTGAAAAATTATTTACTCTTTTGATATTTTTGCTATAGTAAAATTATATTAGTTAAATTATATCTTATATTAAATTTTCCTTGACGAACGTGCATGACCTTATCTTGACAAATAATCATGGACAAAGGAGGTAACACTTTTGTGTTGTAATTGTGAAACTGCTTTATCCTTAATTAGAAATTTCGAGTTTAACTTTGAATATAAAAATTTTTCTATTGAAAATTTCATTCCAAAATAAATCCATACGTCAAATTGTTAGGTTGTGAAGTCTGATTAATATTTGATGTACTGTCATATATTACTGTTTACGCGGTTTAGGCTTTACTATTTATTTTTTGTAACCAAAAATACTCTGATTTATTAATATATATACCCCATCGCCGTGAAAGTTTACTCATGGGGTGTTACCACGAAATATTAGTTTCTCTCTCTAGATCTCTCATCTCTTTCTCTTAAAAGTTTTTGTGTTCTTAATTTATTAAGTGTGTGAATTCGATCCTAACACAAATTTCATCGAGGCTCTAATGTGAATTTCAGTGACGGGGACAATAAAAAGTCAGCACCCAAAAATTCTTAAAGCTCAAAGGTCAGCTCTGTTTACATTTTAATTTCAACGCTACCTAACCCATCATTTTCTCTACTATTTTTCTATGCTAATGCACTTCATCATTATTGGCTTATTGCCAAACAATTTTTTCACCGCACCATTTTAAATTTTGATATTATTCGTTATAAAAATAGTTTATATTTATCTTTACTATTACAATTTTTTGCAAAAATATCTTTTTCCATCTAATTAAAGTAAAAAAGATTTGATTTTAAATTTATTTTTCTGATTTTTTATTTAAAAAACAAAATCCATCTAAGTATATTTGATCTTTTGCAAAGTTAAGGGCTCACGGGATACATTTGATCCTTCTCACGAATGAGATTATTTTTCCTTGCTTTCTTTAGTTCAATGAATTATTTGGGTTTTATATTATCATAGATATTCCAATTTAAAGAATACAAAAAATAAATTGCGATATAACAGTAAAAAAATAATCTTAAATTCTTTTTCCTCTTTTTTAATTTTTCCATTAACACTTTTTTTTTATTTCTCATATTTTCACGCAAAAAATAAAATAAAAATATAAAAGCATGTAATATTTAAAACATGGTTCAAATAATTAATATGAATTTTCCACAAGAACTAAATTTTGTTTTAGTATGAGTGTTTAAAGAAGAACAAAAGAAAATACCTTTAGCGATCGCAACTCGTTGTCTTTCTACTTGCTCCAACATTTGACTTTATTTTTATCCTCATTAATACTAATTATTCCAATATAAATCACGTACATAATAATAAAAAAAATTGTTACGTTATTTATAAACTTAATTTTATTTATATTATTTTCTTTTTTATCATCTCATTCAAAAACCAAATGATCCCTGAGTTCAACAATATCTCACAATTAATGTTTTCTTAGAGTCCGAGTCTAAAGGGTAAATATTGACAAAAATTTTAAAAGGGTAAATAATTTTTTTTAAAATCAAAACGGTAAAATTTTTGGTGATGTAGCGATTTAGGTGGTGCCGTTAAGGTAAATCGTTGTAGTAGCAGCGATTTGTAAAATTTATATTTTAAATTTTTTTTAACAAATGGTCGCTGCCAAGGCAGCGATTTAGTAAATGATTTTTTTAAAAAAATTATAAATAGCTGCCTGTACAACGATTTTACTTAAAAAAATATTTTTTTATTATTTTTTGAAGTAAATCGCTGCGTTGACGGTGATTTTACTTTATTTTTTATTTTTTTTAAAAATTTTTCAAGTAAATCGCTATATTTTGAAGTAAATTAACACGTCAAATCTGTACAAAAAAAAAATTCACATACATGTGAATATTTATGTCTGGATGTGAAATGTGAATTTGAAAGTTTGACAATGTGAATTTTTTTGGCTAATTATAATTTATTTACTATAAAAAGTTAAATAGGTGAAACGCTGCTCAAGACAGCGATTTATTTCAAAAAAAATATATTTTTTTAAAAAAATTAAGTAAAATTGGCGATTTATAATTTTTTAAAAAAATCATTTACAAATCGCTACCTTTAATTTTTTTTTTTACAAATTACTGCTACTGCAGCGATTTTCCTTAACGCCACCCACCTAAATCGCTACATTACTAGCGATTTTACTGTTTTAATTTTTTTTTAAAAATTCATATACCCTTTTAAAATTTTTGTTAATATTTTTTACCTATTAGGCTTGGGCCTCTATTTTTATAGCAATAAATTTTTTATCAATATTTTTTACCTATTAGGCTTGGGACTTTATTTTTGTAGCATAAGCAATTAACTAGCTAGGTCAACAACATTTTCTTCCTGCTTTAAATCTAACCATATATATATTTATTAGCCGTTTAATCATGAATGAAAATGGAAATATTTTTCAAAATATTTCAAATAAGTTGTAATTATTTATTAAATCAGCTCATTTATTTCAATTTCAAAATTCAAATTTAAAAATACATTTAGGAGTAAGTTCTTTTTCAATTTTTTTCCCTCACATAGCTTTAACTCTTGTTTTCATTTTTTTTTTTTTATATACAAATGACAAACTCTTAATAATCATTTTTCAACTTAGATAAAAAAAAATTAATTTTGGGTAGTAGCTAGTACTTGTTTCTTTAAAAAAATAAAAATATAAACCCATTCTTGTTCAAGTTTGATTTATATTTCCTAACAAACTCATCCTAAATTAAAATAATGTCACTTAATTAATTACTTTGATCACATTAATAATTAATCCTCTACTGTCTTCACCTAATTAATGTAGAAGTCTCTCAATAGTATGGTTCTAAATTTGGCAGGACCAAAAAAGTTGTCCAAAAAATTAAAAGTTGTAAGCTTCTGGAAATAAAATAATCATCAACTCTACAACTTTTTTGTAAGACCAAAATTATATCCCTTTTTTCTCATGCTAGATGGATGTGTTTTGACTAATAATGTCTTAAAATTTAATGCACTTTTAAGTCGTTAATTAATTATGTACGTTTGTAATAAAAACATTTATACGTGAACCACCATGCACGATAATCCCATCAATTAATAACAAAAATCTGGAATAGGCATTTCGACATGAAATTATTATAAATTTTTTTTTGTAAGTTGAACTCCGATAAATATATTTAGTTATAAAATTTTAAAATTCCAACTTTAAGATTTTCAAAAATTTGAAAAATAGCAAAAACATGTTTTTTACTCTAAATAACTCACAATTTTTTTATTTTTATTTTTTAAAAAAGCTTCGATAAGTATAATTGCTTTTTCACTTAAATATTTTTTTTTCACGATAAAACATGATTATCCGTATACCGCAAAAGAGAGTAAGTGCACCTTTCCTAAGACGTACGGGGCCGGGTATTAAAAACTTGAGAGACCAATCCAACCAAATTGATTATCGACCAAAAAACAGCTGTGCATTATCAAGGTTCAATTAGGTAGTTGTTGCAATTCAGGATATGTAATTGTAGGAGTTATTTTAAATAGTACTATCAAATGTTTGATTAGGAGCATCAGGTTCGAATCTTGAAAATAAAATTCCTTCTAAAATGAAAATTTTAAACATATTTAAAATAATTAGAGCTTAATATGAATATTAAATATCAAATAAAAGATTAAAAATTAAATCATAGGAGAAATAGATAGGGATAAAGTAAAAAAAAAGATTGCGCACTAAAAAATGTTAGATAAAAATAAGG